ATGTTTATAATCTACTTTAGTTAATACTTTACGCCTTATTTTTACTTCAAGTATGGATACATCAATTTCAGTGCAAGCTATTTTAGTTTCATCTTCCATAAAAATTGTTTTAAACGTTTCATCTGATCTCATCGTTTGAAGAGAGTTTTTCAAAGCAGTGATTGGTGTAACCGCTGTATGTAGATACAAGTTAGATGATTGTAATGTGGCACCAATTTTGTTCGCTAAATTTAGAATAGGGTTTAAAATACACATAGCAAAAACCAATTTAAAAGTTTTCAATGAATAAATGAAACCTTTTGTTTTGGCACTTACATCTGGAAGATTTGTTGAGTCTTATATTTCCTCCAATGCTTTTAATATAGCTAAATAATTACATCAGTACCGTATGCCACCTTGTAATTTGACARTGTCTTCGATGTTTTTAACTTTATATTCATTGAAATTGTAATTTTCTCTAATATAGCATGACGTACACAATTACCTTCAATTAAATTATAAACTAATTAAATGGTAACAAAATAATTCAAATGTCACATGGTTTTCTTTTCCAATGAAATCTACTGACACAAGCTTTAAGTAATGAACATAAAAAAAGTTTTGGATTCATCTGATCATCTCTTTACATTTAGATTGGACGCCTGGTACATGACCAAACATTATAGGAGCACCGTCGAAGCTGATAGCACTGATAGCACATTATACCATTSAATACCTATAAGGTTCAATACATCACATAATTTCAAAAAAATAGTCTGAGAATCTCCATGTGATAATCTTCTTAAACAAAAAAATCTTTCAACTGGTCTTTTTTTCTCGGATGAATAATATGGGATAATAAAAGATATTTTCTCATTGTGACCAACGTCACTAGTATTGTCCGCAATGATTGAATTTTTCTCCACGAAGTTCAGTAGACATTTTCCTTTGAATAATATTACAAATTGATGAAATTAGGTCATTTAGAATATGGTTACTCGTATATAACGCATTCCTAGATCCATTATCTAAATGATATTTTAATTCAGGATCATATTTACTAAGCAAATTTATCATTTCTAAAAACAGCTCTTGATGTAGTTCTGAACTTTTTTCAATACGCCCACGAAATGGGCGGTCACCTAGTTCTAATCATAAAGTRACATCAATAAGACGATACATTATTTGTCTGTTTATGMAATTTTTGTTTCCCTTTTTGTGCAAGTTGAATTTCATTATTTTGTCTATCAGAACATCTATTAATTTAAAGTTTRAAAACTTCATCATTGAAGTCGTACTGTAAGGAGCTCAATGTTTAATCTTGCGGGCAGACGTGTCATTATTTTCTTTTTGTATAGACGTTCAACGTAGCGAGTATAAAAGACTACGCAGATCGTCTATGCAGAAAGACGTGATCGTGTAAATTAATAAAATTATTTGAAAATAGCGTTTACTATTGTGTGTTAAAAAGTTAAATAAAATTAACAATGGTGAACCAGAGAAAAAAGTTCGGTTACCTTATATCTTACGCCTCTGACGCTAACCACGATTTCAACGGGGAAGTCGCCACWAGGTCAWTTAATTGATTTAGAGACATATAACCGTATTCCGGTAATTTTAAGTCTTTTAAATCATTACAACCGTTAGCGGCTTTACCGAAACGATTGTCATCAAGTGGYGAATCGATTGATACTGCAGGTTCCGTCCGTTCCACGCAGGCGGTAACCCGATATCATGCATTACCCGCAATAGCCGTCTGCATTTCGATCATTGAACTAATATTTAGAAACCTTCAACGGATAAATCATATGAAGTAGAAATTGTTCAATAGGTAAATTTTAGACTATACAAAATTGTTATGGAATTCAGTAACTTTACCTTGAAAAGTATATAATTACATAGGTAAATAAATATTATGTACCTAGTTTAAAGCTTACYAAACTATTTTATTTTTTTAATACTCGTAATACATTTTCCAAAACATTTAAAT